TCCTTCCACGGCCATCTGACCTCGTAACGATTATTCACAAGTTTTATAGAGTTCTCAAAAAGTTGTAGTGCCCTGTCGTCATCCCTTTCTCGAATTGAGTCGTTTATTCCTATCCTCTCAAGATTCCAAACTTCCTCAACGTTAGGCAGATGTACAGGCTGCGAGCTTATCGGCCTATTAGAATGCTTAAACTTTAACACATCTACTCCTTCACCCCTATGCATAAGACCGCCTTCACTTATGGCTTTACCTGTAATAAACGTTCCCATATTGGTACCAATTTCATATAATCCTTCCCGATTTGAGTTAATACGAAAATTTTTCATCAAGTCCCAGAAATAGTTCTTACCCACCAAATATCAATATTCTTCTGATCTATCACTACACCCTTGCTTTGTTGTGATGTGGTTCCTTCGTTTAACTTAGTAGCAATAGTAGGCATCGAGTAGACTCTGATTACTTGTTGGTCATTTTGAGAGCGAAGTTCCACTTCATAAATCTTTGAATGCACAAATCTAGGCGTTTAACTGCCAAATGTGTAGACCGCTAATGTTTCACTGTCTGTGTTGTCTAAACCTAATCGCTTAGCTAGACTTTCAGTGATATAAGATGTTTCGCTCCCGCTATCTAAGAACATGTGTGCTTCTACGCCTTCATTTGCTTCTGCCGCGGGCTTACTAGCAGTTATTTTTGTTACTGACAGCAGCGTCTGTAAATTTGCTTCAAAGGCCTCGTAAGCGTCGATTTTTTGTATAATGCTACTAACACAGATCTGACCATTGTCGTTGCTCGTCTGACTGTCTTGTTGCCTGGCCTCCGTAGCAGTCCATTCCATGGCTATACTACCCACACTAGGCTTTTGAACTTCCCGCATCTGCACGCCCTGTTTTGTAATGTCTTGGCGAAGCGAACAAAAAGCTCTGTTGTGATTTTTGCCCTCACAGTGATGGCATTCCTTTTCATACTTACAGGTCTGTTTATTATGCCCCTTTCTCAGACATCGAGAACATAAATTTAATTCTTTAGCTCTACGGCCCCTCTCATCAATCGAGTTGTACTGACTGCATTGATCACTAAAGTGATTACCATTACAAAAACTACATGTCCTTTTCCTTATTCAATGGGCTGGCGCCATTGCCGTAACAAAGCCTCTTTGTTCGGCATTTTCGAATTTTCCCTTGCCATTGGTTTTTGCTCTGC